CGACGTCCACGCTGGCGCCTCCGAGAAGATGCCCGCCGTCGCCCGCGTCACCGCCGCTGGTAGCAAGCTCCCACTGCTCGGCAAACAGGGCGACTGGTTCAAGGTCAAGCTCCCCGCCGGTGATGGTTGGCTCCCTGCCAAGGACGGCAAGCGCACAGGCGGCGAGGCCCCCGAGCCGATCGAAGGCGTGCGAGAGGTCCTGGCGCAGTCCCCGATCATTGGCACCTGGCAACCGGCGACGATGCTCACAGACAAGTCCACCATCGACCTCGACCTGAAGGCCAACGACGAGACCTCGATCAAGGACTACTACATCTTCGTCTACAACCGCACCAACTCGACGGTGAACACGCGCAAGGTACGCTACCAACGCGTCGGGAAGCACGACCTGGAGTTGACCTCCAACGTGCCGCTGTTCGAAGGGATGAACCGTATCGCGATTTATGTGCGCGATGGCGACGGCATGACCTCGACGCGCTCGGCATACGTCTTCCGCAAGTAATCTGCCGAGACAACGTGCTAGGCCTTTTACGCGGCTGGCGGCGGCCACCGAAGGAAAACCGCCGCCCACTTTTTGCAGTTAACACCTGAGAGAAGCGCGATATAGAAGACATGGCACCAACCCGAAGCTTTCCGTCGGCGATCAAGCGCCTGATTTCGAACTCGAGAGCGATGACAGCGGCACGATCAAGCTCGCCGATCTTCGCGGAAAGAAGGTCATCCTCTACTTCTACCCCAAGGATATGACGCCTGGCTGCACCACGCAGGCGTGTGACTTCAGAGACAACCAGAGCGCCTTCGAGGACGCCGGCTACACCGTCCTCGGCGTCTCGCCGGACCCGGTCAAGCGGCACGCGAAGTTTCGCGAGAAGCACGACCTCAACTTCCCGCTGCTCGCGGACACGGACAACAGCGTCGCTGATGCCTACGGCGTCTGGCGCGAGAAGAAGAACTTCGGCAAGACGTATATGGGGATCGTGCGCTCGACGTTCTTTATCGACGAAGAGGGCAAGCTCACGGACATCCAGGACAACGTCCGCGCCAAGGGGCACGTCGAGCGCTTGATCGAAGCGATTTGATCGTCCTCGATCTCGCGCGAGGATGGCGCTAGTCTTCTCGGCATGACGGCGCCATCCTCCCTCGCGCGCGCTTCCACCCATCCACGACCCGTATCCTGGAGCGAATTAGCGATGATCGACGAGTTCTGGCTGTTCCACTGCGGCTATATCAAAGTCCCCGAAGCGATGGTCTTTCCCAAGGGTTCGCGGTTTCGCTTTCGCGACCTCCCCTTTTTGGGCGCGGCGGCGTTCCACAACGAACATGGCCTGATGATGATCGATGCCCCGTATGGGCATGACGGCCCGGGGAACCTCGGGAGCCTGTTTGGAGGATTGCTCTCGCTGACGCTCCAGCGCTTCGACATGACATGGTCCGTGGTCCCGCGCATCGAGCAGATGGGTTACCGCGCCAGCGAAGTCAACAACGTGCTCATGACGCACATGCACTTCGATCACACCGGAGGGCTCAAAGAGCTCGCGCACGCGCGCCTCAACGTCTCGAGCACCGAGTGGCGCACCGCCACGAGCTTCAAACCCTTCGACGGCCTGGCCCGTGGCTACGCGGTGAGTGATTATCGCATGCTCTCCGCGCAGCTCAACACCTTCGAGCTCGACGAAACCTACGATCACAAGGCCAAAGGACACGACCTCTTCGGGGATGGCAGCGTGATCGCGTTCCCGCTGCCAGGGCACACGCCAGGACACACTGGCTACCTGTTTAACATGCGCGATGGCAGGCAGGTGTTTTACCTCGGAGATGCGGTCTTCGCGACGCGTCAGATCAGCGAGCGGATCGGCTTTGGCGCCTTCCCGAACACCGTCGGCGAGGACATGAGCAGGGCCGCTTATACCCTGAGCGAGCTCCAGTACTTCCACGAGGAAAACCCGAAGACCTTGCTGTTGTGCGCGCATGACTTTGATCTGGGCGCGCAGTGCAAGCACGGCCCGATCAGGATCTGACCATGTCGCACTGGCGCGAGCGCTCGAAACAGGAACTCTTTGGCGAACTCAGAGCGACGAGCCATCAGAAGCTCGACTCGGATCGCTGGAACAAGATCTGCCGTATCCTCGACGCGTGGCCTGGCGTCGACAACATGCGCGAGGAGGTCATCCCCTACCTCGCATCCGCGCTCTCCGGCGCCAAGCTCGACCCGGAGAAGCAAACCCTCTTCGCCCCTGCGTCCTGGATCCATCGCGCGTTTGCTGGCGAGGAGCTCCCGCAGCTCGCCCTGAGCCGAGCTATCGATATCCCCATCGAGCTCCTCCTCGAACATGGGAGCTGGGGTCCACTGTCGGACAAGCTCTCACACATCGAACTTATCGAAATCAACGCCTACGATAAGCGCGATGAACCCTTCCTCTCCAAGCTCGAGCTCGAAAAGTTCCCCGCGCTCACCGGGCTCGTGCTCCAGTGGTCGAACATGGAGGACAAGGGGGCTCGTTTTCTGGCCAGGAGTGAGGGCACAAAGAGGCTCGTTCACCTCGACCTCTGTGGGTGCCACCTCGGCGCCTCGGGCGTTCGATTACTTGGCGAAGCGCCGTGGTTCTCACAGCTCGAGTGGCTCTCGCTGGAGTGGAACCGGCTGGAAGCAGAAGGGATACGGGAGCTCTCGAAGATGCCCACATTCGAGCGCCTGAGGCACCTGAACCTCGAGCATAACGATCTGCATGACGATGGGCTCGCGCTCCTTGGAGAGTGTCAGATGCCAGCGCTCGAGCACCTCGACTTGAACCTGAACTCGATCGACGACGACGGGCTCGAGGCGCTCGCCGAGAGCCCCATCCTCGAGAAGTTGAGATGGCTCGACCTGAGCTTCAATCACTGGGGAGAGCGCGGGCTCGAAGCGCTGGCGCGCTCTCCTTACTTGCGCGCGCTCGAAGAGCTCAAGATCGCGAGCAATGACGCCACGGCAAAAGGCTTCGGCGTCTTCGCGAGGGCGCCCTGGCTCGACGGCCTGAAGATGATCGACCTGGCGTTCACCAAGGAGATCCCGATCGAGCAGTGGGTCGCGCTCTTTTCCCGCGAGGGATTACACGGTCTGACACATGTCGAGCTCGATGAATGCGAGCTCGGAGATGAGGACGCGGCGCATCTGTTTCGCGCGTTCAGCGCGACGCATATAAAGAAGCTCGACCTTCGCCAGAACAACCTGGGGATGCGAGCGATCGAAGCGATCGCTGATAACGAGGGGTTCGCCAACATTATCGACCTCTACCTCAAGGACAACACGCTCGGGGACGAGGGGGTCGCGCTGCTCGCGCAGGCGCCTCTTATGGCGAACATCGAACACCTCCACCTGACCAACACGGGGCTTGGCGGAGCAGGTCTCGAAGCGCTGATCAAACATGCGAAGGCGTCCTCGCTCACCACGCTGCATATCGGCGCCAACCCGCTGGTTCCACAGGACTTCGAGCAACTGCTCGCCTGGGACGCGCTCGCTGGGGTCGAGAACCTCTCGCTGGAGCGCCTCGAGTTCTCGGCCGAGCACCTACGGGTGCTCCTCGAGCGGTGTCAGGAGCGCATCACTTCGCTCGATCTCGAAGGTTGTCCGCTGACTCACGAACACATGAAAGTGCTATGCGAGGTGCCGTTACCCATGCTCGGAGTACTCGATTTATCCAATATTGGTTTGCAAGACTCTGATTTGGATATACTGTCGAGCAGTATGAATATTGAAAAACTCTCGACTCTGTCGCTGCAAGGCAACGAGTTGGGAGAGCAAGCGCGCGAGCGCTTCGAAGAAAACGCTAACCTCTCCTACGAAACCAGGGGAAAGTGGTTCTCTTGAGAGATGCCGCGCCCCACACCAGCATGACCGAAAATAAAAAGGCACGCTCCTCCATCCAGCAGGCATGGGCGGAGATCCTGTTCGAGCATCTGGGGGATGCGGTCATGATTCACGACCGCTTTGGTTACCTCCTGGAGGTCAATAAACAGCTGTGTCATGCGCTCGGGTATACGAGAGATGAGCTCGTCGGGATGAACGTGGCCGACATCGACCCGACCGTGAACCTCGACGCGCTCGATGGCTTGTGGGCCAGGATGATCCCGGAGCAGCCGCTGACCGTCGAAGGGCTCCACGCCCGCAAGGATGGCACGACGCTCCCCGTCGAGCTGCGCATCGTCAAGCTGATCAAGGATGACGAGATGATCTTCGTGGTCGTCTCGCGCGATATCACAAACCGCGTCATCGCCAGAGAACACGCCGAACAGCTCAACGCGCAGTTGCGACACGCCCACCGTCAGGCGCTCGCTGCAAATCACGCGCGCGACCGCCTGCTCGCCAACATGAGCCACGAGCTGCGCACACCCTTGAACGCCATCATCGGCTACTCCGAGATGTTGCAAGAGGAGATCGAAGAGGCGCAGCAGCAAGCCGATCTGGGGCGCATCCTTTACTCCGCGCGTCATCTGTTGGAGCTGGTCGACGATGTGCTCGACCTCTCACATCACGAGTCGCGAAGGGTTCCCGCCGAACCGATCAACTGCGACCTCTCGATCCTTATCGAGGACGTCTGTGGAAGCTTCCGATCAGTGATCGAGAAAGATCCCGCGCAGGATCGTGGCAACAGCTTCGAGCAGGTGATCGAGCCCGAGCTCGAAGCGTTCACGGACCCGGACAAGATCGAGCGCATCACGCTCAACCTGCTCTCGAACGCGAATAACTTCACGCGCGATGGGCACATCTCGCTCAGGCTGGAGCGCGCCGGAGAGGATACCATCATGACCGTGTCGGACACGGGCGTGGGCATCGCGGACACGCAGCAGCTCTTCTTGCCACTGAATGGGCTCGAGCACCAAGACGCGAGCATCAAGCAGGGGAAGGGCCTCGGGCTCGCGATCTGCAAACGGTATGTCGAGATCCTCGGAGGTTCGATCTCGGTCGAGAGCGTTGTGGGCGAGGGATCGATCTTCACGGTCACCATTCCGCTCCAGCTCGAAGAGCGGCACGCCGAACAACTCGAAGACAAGCGCGCGCTCACAGGCCAGCTCTCGAGCACGGTCTGCCTCTCGCTCGAGAGCTGCTCCGGGATCGCCAAGTCAGCGCGCAGCGCAGGCATCCAGGGCGTCGCCTACAAGGACCCCGCTCGCTTCTCGGCTGCTGTGGATGCGCTTCGCCCAGATCTCGTGGTGCTCGAGTTTGGCGAAGCATACCCGGACGCCAGAACGTTGGGGCACAAGCTCAAGTCCATGGCGACCACGTCTCAATGCCCGATCCTCCTCCACCTCTACTCCCCCAGGGCGCAGCGCGGCGTCCTGCTCGAAGGGATCGACGACGTGCTGTTCACGCCCATGGATAGTGGGACGCTGAGGCGCGCGCTCCGTATGCGTGGGTTGCAAGAGGGGGCGAAGCTGCTGGCGATCTCACCACCTCGATGCTTGCGCGAGATGCTGCCCGAGGGAGCAGCGATCCTCGACCTGGAGTGCTGCGTGGCGGACAGGCTGGAGTCACTCGAGCCTTCACCGACGCATGTGCTCCTCGATCTGGACGCGTGTGGAGAAGAGACCCTCGCGCTCTGCGCGTTGATCTCCAGGCACTACCCCAGGGCGATGGTGTTGCTGATCGTGGCGAGCGAGCGTGAGCACGCGAGCCACAGCGACATGGTCGAAGCGATGATCTCGCGCACGGGGAAACCGATCGAGCAGGTGCAGGTCAGGATGAACGAGATCGCCGCGGCACTCTGCTAATGTGAAGCCATCCTCGACGTTCACGCGCCGAAGTCGATGCGATGCTTTTGCACCTTTCCGAGCGCGTTCCGAGGGATCTCCTCGAGCAAGATGACCTCGCGCGGGCGCTTGTAATCAGCCAGCCTCCCTTCCACGAACGCGCGGAGTTCGTCAGCCCACCAAGACGCATCCCGAGACGTATCATCGCCATCCTCGATCACGAGCGCGGCGCCGATGCGCTGCCCCCACTCGTCATCGGGGATGCCCACGATGGCGACCTCTCGCACCATCGGGTGCCTGGAGATCACCTCTTCGATCTCTCGCGCCGAGATCTTGTATCCACCAGACTTGAGGATATCCACGCTGCGCCGCCCCACATGGACGATATAACCGTCCTCGTCGTAACGAGCGGCATCTCCGGTCAGGAACCAACCATCGCGAAATGACTCGGCGGTCTTCTCGGGAGCGCCCCAGTACTCGCGCATGACGGTCTCTCCCTTGACCACGATCTGCCCGACGACGCCGGGTTCACACAGGTTCATCTCCTCATCGCGGATCTCGACCTCGCAGGCAGGGATCGGGAACCCGATCGTGCCAGGCTTGCGCTGCTCGGGAGGATACGGGTTCGAGACCGTCAACATCGTCTCGCTCATCCCATAGCGCTCGAGGATGCGATGTCCGGTGAGGCGCTCGAACGCCTCGAAGAGATCTGAAGAGAGCGCCGCAGAGCCCGACGTGAACAAACGCGCGCCAGCGAGCACCTCGCCAACCGCGGGGTCGTCCTCGAGCGCGCGCACCAACCTCGTATACATCGTGGGCACGCCCATAAAGATGGTGCCACCATCTTTGACAGAAGCGATCACATCGCCCGCGTCGAAGCGCTCGTGAAGGACCGCCTCGCACCCTCTGAGCAAGGTGCCATGCACGCCGATCCCCAGGCCGTGCACGTGAAACAGCGGGAGCGCGAGGACCAGGACATCATCCTCGCTCCAGCGCCAGAGCGTGGTCAGGCTGTCGATGCCCGAAAGTATGGCCCTGTAGGGCAGCGCGACCCCCTTGCTCTTCCCCGTGGTCCCCGAGGTGTAGATGAACATCGCCAGATCTTCATCCTCGAGCGATTCACGCGCCTCGAGCGGCGCGCTCTGCGCGAGGCTCTCGAAGGTCAACTCGCCGAGGTCTTCTTTGACATCCTCTGCGGCCTCGCCAAGGAGCACGAGGTGCTCGAGCAAACCGGGGTTCGCCGCGCGTAGAGCGCGCAGCAGCGAGAGCTTGTGCGATGTGTCGACGATGGCGACCCTGGCGCCGGAGTCCTCCAGGATGTGCGCGATCTCGACCTCGCCATAGCGCGTGTTGACGGGCACATGAACCGCGCCGATCGCGTAGTGACCGAGCAACACCACAGGCAGCGAGAGCGAGGTCTCGAGGATCGCGACGACGCGATCCTCCTTCGAGACGCCAAGCGCTCTTAGCCCCGCGCCATAACGGCGCGCGCGCTCGTCGAGCGCGCCAAACGTCAGCGAGCCTGCGTGATCGAACGAACGAAACGCGACCGCATCGGGGCGATGATCGATGTGGTGATAGAGGCGTTCGAGGTAGCGAGTGTCCATGCGTATGCCTCGTTGCAACGGGCGGCGTAGGTGAGGATAAGCGGGCGCTGATAAGCGCGGATAAGAGCGCGCGGATGAATCAGTGCCTCGAGCCCAAAGCGCGGCTCTCTAGATGGCCGCGGCGAGTTCGTCATCCTGCTCGAGATGGAGCGGCGCGAACATCACGGAGCCGTGGCGCTTCGAGGGATCTCCCGTGAGCTTGACGCGCAGGTAATCCTCGGTGATGCCATAGTCGCTCTCTTCGACGACGATATGCGCGCCCTGCCCTGCGCGAGAGCGCCTGTAGTTGGCGCCCTTCTCGAGCGCGATCTCGCGGAGCTCACGGCTACGCTCGGCGGCGATATCACCAGGGATTTGATCCTCGTAGGTCGCCGCCAGGGTGCCATCGCGCACCGAGTATGGGAACACGTGCAGGTAGGTAAACGGCAGCTCTTCGATGAGCGCGCGGGTCTCGGCGTGATGCTCCTCCTGCTCGCCAGGGAAGCCGACGATGACGTCGGCGCCAAGCCCCAGGTAAGGAAGGCGCGAGGCGATCTCGAGCATACGCGAGCGGTATTGCTCGCGGTTATGCCAGCGGCGCATCCTGCGGAGCACGGGGTCCGAGCCAGACTGCATGGGGACATGCAGGTGAGGTACGAGCGCGCCACCGCTTTGCTCGAGCAAATCGACCATCAGATCATCGATCTCGGTGGCCTCGACGCTGCCCAGGCGAAAACGTGTGCCGGGGACTTCTTCGAGCAACCTGGCGGTGAGCTTGGAGAGCGTGTGCGTCTTTGCGCCAGGATCATTGAGGTCGTAACCGTAGTGACCGATATGCACGCCGGTGAGGACGATCTCTGGGTGATTGGCGGCGAGCCGTTGTGCCTCGGCGATAAGCTCGTCTGGCTGGCGGGAGCGGCTCGCGCCGCGCGCGATCTTCGTCGCGCAGAACGCGCAGCGCCTGTCACACCCATCCTGGATCTTCATCCAAGCGCGGGTGCCGCGATCATCGCGCTGGAGCAACGTCGCGCCGATCGGTTCCTCGTCGATGTCTGCCAGCGGCGCGAGCGGCGCGATGACCTCGATCAGGTGCTCGGGGTCGTGCCCCTTGACCACACCGAAGACCTGATTCATCGCCGCGTATTCGTCACCGCGAAGCGCCGCCGAGCACCCCGCCACGATGATCTGGAGGTCGGGGTTATCCCGCTTGAGCCGACGCACAGCCTTTCTGGCGACGGCGTCCGCCTGGTTTGTGACGGTGCACGTGTTGACCACGCAGGCGTCCGCGAGCGTGGGGTCATCGACGACCACGGCGCCGCGCGCCTCGAGCTCCTGGCGGAAGCGTTCGGTGTCGTATTGGTTGGCCTTACAGCCAAAGGTGACGAAATGGACCTTCATGATTTTCTCGCTACTCGCTGCTCGCGACTTGCCTAAAGAAGCATCGGGGTTGTGATGAGAGCGAGAAGGCCAGCTCGTACTTGCGCGCGCAAGTACGAGCTGGCCTTCTCGCTCTCATCGACGCGCTCCGTGACACTTACGCGAAGCGCGCGCTCTTTCAAGTCGATTCCTCACCAGAATGTTCGGTGAGGTCAGTAGACGCGACGATCCTTTCGGGTCGGCGTGGTCGCCTCTTGTTGGTCTGCTTTCTGATGAGACTCGCGCTGCGCTTTACGCGCCTTCTCGGCCGAATCGATCTTGTAGCCGAGCAGTCCGCCACCGAGCAGCGTCAGCACGGTGACGACGATGGCCACGACCCAAAGTTCGCGTTTGTATTCGGGAGAGTCTCTGTCGATTCGCTGCGGCATAACGTTTCTGCTTCGCTTTCGGAAAGTGGTCGAGTGCAACGGCCCACACATCTCGTGCGGCGTCACATCTTGAGATGAACACTACGCCCGAATTGTTTCAAGCAGATCTTTCCAAATCACTGGAAAGACTCCCATTGCCCCCAGGAAGCGCGCGCTCGAGCGGGCAGCGCGCGCTGCCCGCCACGGCATCACTCCCCGCGCTCGAGGATCGTATCCTGTGGGATACCACCGAGCGCCGGGTCGTTGTAATCGCCCACGATCGCGTCGCCGTTGATCTCGCCGTTGAGGAACTGGTAGGGCACCTGCGAAGGCGGCACGACCCAGTTCAACTCCAGCTCTTCCTGGAGGTAGGTGCCCATCACCATCCCCGACTCGCCGCCATCAGGCAGCTGGTAGGTTCCGGTGACCTCGACCGCGTCCACCTCGTTGACGAGCGTGAAGGTGATGATCTCGGCGCCAGGCGTCTGGTTGGCATACTCGCGCATGACCCAGGTGCCCGAGACCTCGAAGTTGGTCGGCCCGAGGTCGACCTCCATGTTCATATCCTCTTCCATCGCCATGTCTTCTTCCATGGCCATGTCAGGCTCGGTCCCCATATCCTCTTCAGTCGCGCCCATATCCTCTTCGACCGCCATGTCCTTGGCGATCGGCGTCGTATCGACGGTCTCGTCAGGGCAACCCGCGAGCACCACGCTCGCGGCAAACAGCAACAACATCTTGGTGAGGATCGCCTCGCTTCGCATCATCTTCATCGCCTCCGCACGCAGGGTTCGCGCGCTTATGGGGTGGGTCGTAAACGCTTGTATTTTTTTGCACGAAACGAGCCCACGCGCCAAAAACTCCCTCGGAAAGGAGCTTCGCTCTAAAGCACACGCAGGTTGTTTCGCAAATGTTCCTCCCTTGTTGATAGCAAATTCGGTGCGGGATTTCCACAAGGGGCGATGTAGCGTGGGGCTCTGTGGCAAAGGTTTAGCCGAACGCGTGACATGCCTCACAACAAGAAGCCCACCTCTGGGGGGCAGCGCCGAGCGAAGCGAGGCAAGACCTGCGGCCTGCCGCGGGTCTTGCCTCCTGAAACAAACGCGGGGGCATGCCCTCGCTTTCTGTTAAACCTTCGCCATGAAGCCTCTCAGTTGCAGGCGAAGACGCCGTTCTCGTCGACAAAGGCAGGGCCACCTTCGCTCCCCGAGCCGTTGTCTTCGAGCGTGAGTGATTCACAAGGCGACACGGAGGACTCCGAGCTCACGGAGACGCCCCAGCGACCGCTGCCAGCGATGCGAACATCATCGAGCGCGACCTGTGACTTCTGACTGCTTCCAGCAAGGTACAGACCTGCGGTGCTGTCGGGGCTTCCGTTCCAACCGCTGCTCCCGCCGTAGAGGATGTCTGCGTTGGCGATCTTGTTCGCGCTCTTGAGAGATTCGCCAAAGCGAATCCCTTTCCAGAAGCCCTTGATCGACTCGCCATCGGCGGCGACAAACGAGATGCGATCCCCTGCCGAGCCATCCGCGATCAAGGTTCCTCCATCGACGTTCAAGCCAATGTCCTGGTCGAACTCGACGGTCATCCCTGGCGAGAGCGTGAGCTCGCCAGAAACCCTGACAGTGCGCGCGGCGCGGTAGGGCACATC